AGAAAAATGTTAATTCAGTTTGTATTGTTAGTGGGAAAACTCATTTCAATGAGTGAAAAATATTTAATGTAGTTCAGTAGCTCATGATTTAAAAAAAAACTTCTAACAAACTAGGTATAGAAGGAACCATTCTTTTGGTTTTTTGTTTGTTTGTTTGTTTGTTTGTTTGGTACGGGGGATCGAAATTGAGCCCTTGGGCTTGCAAGGCAGGAGGCGGAACCACTGAGCTAAAATCCCTGGCTCCTAGAAGGAACCATTCTTAACTTGTGTTTTAAAAATTATTTGTTAACAATCTATGACAAATTACTTAGAGGTGAGAAACTGAACGCATCTTTAAGATTTTGAACAAGAGAAAGATGCCTCTGTAACTATATTCTCACATTGTATTATATGTTCTATCAAGCACAGTAGGGCAAAAATAGAAGTATAAAGATATAAAGATTGTGAAGAAAGAAGCAAAATGGTCACTGCCATCAGATATAGTATTGTCCGTGTATTTTTATATCTACTGATAAATTACTAAGATTAATAAATACTTATCAAGGCTGACTGCTACAATCAATTGCATTTCTATCACCAACAATAGAAAAAATACAATTTTAAAAGTTGCTATTTCCTTATGATATCTAAAACCACCAAATATCTAGGAATAATAAACTATACACATGTACTGTAATGTATGGATAGAATTATGAAACTATTGGTATCTGTTAATGAAATAAAAATGAAGAGCTGAATCATGCAATTTTGACAAAAACCTCCACAGATATGTTTGTTTTGTGAAACTTGACAATTTAATATTAAAATATGTGTGGAATTAAGCAAGAATAAAGCCAAAGTCTTCTGGAAGAGCAAAATGGAGGGATCTGTTCTCCAGGTCACAAAACCTTAACAAAGCTGTGGTAACTGAGAGGGATAGAAAATGGATGGATGGAAGTGGGGGTGGTGCCAGAGGAAGAGGCCTAGGCACATACAGATAGTTGATGAGATGACAGAGGTGACATTGCATAGCAGCAGGGCAAGGACAGACTGTCACTAAACAGTAGTATTCATAACAGAAACCGAGACTAAGGAGGGGTGAAGTAAGCACTTTATCCAAAGCGCTACAATCAGAACAACTGAAGAGAGGGGTTCCTTGAGCAACATTTAGTTAAAGTGTTTACCAAGGCAAAACTCAGAGTGGAAAAGTACTGGAGGGCAAGGCAGCTGACTCAGAGGATGGGTGCTCAAGTAGCTCATCTGCTCTCCACATTCCCGTGCCTTTTTATGGTTGGCTGGCTCAGGTGCTCATCGTTCAGAATCTGATTTTGCTCCTTGGAATTTATGGCTTCTTGGAATTTATGGGAACCACTTACTCTTCTCAATTCCTAGAACTGCCTTTAGATACTGAAGTTCAGTTCAAAGTTCGTTAGTGGAAAATTATAGCTTTTCACAGTATGAAAAAATGAAAGGGACTTCACCTCATCCCACACAAAAATTAATTCCAAGTCGTTTAAATGTGAAAGGCAAAACTCTAAATGTTTCATAAAACAATATAGTAGAGTTACTTTACGGCTTTGACATAGAAAAAGAGTTCTTAGGTACCAGAAACACTAACATAGAGGAAGATGATCGCCAAATTTCACTACATTAAAGTAAGTTCTTCCACTCAGCAAAATACATCACATTAAGAGTGAAAATACAATCCTCAAATAAACAATTTTTCACATATGCAGCCCATAAAAATTAGTATACAGAAAATATAAGAAATTCCTACTGATCGATAAGGACTAAACAAAGCTGCTAACTAGAAAAATAGACAAAATCCACTAACGGGTTCCATGGGAGAGAAGGACGAATGATCTATAAACACGTAAAAAGATCTTCACTCTTACTTGTTATTACAAAAATATGAGTGAAGAAAACAATAGGACGTAATTTGGATTGGCAAATATTTAAAGTTGATGTGTTGCATGTTATGAAGGATATAGGATAATGGGAACAATCATACGCTGCTAGTAGAAGAGTAAGTTGGTGCCGTGACTTGGGGAAGCTGGTACTGTATCATAAAGTGGCACATGCGCTTACTCTTTGACCAGCTTGATCACAGGGTATGTTTGTTAAATAAATTGCGCATCATGTGCACTATGAGGTAATGTGCAATGTTGTGCATAGAAGTTTTCTTGAGAGAAGATGAAACGCCAGAAACCCCAGAAATGTCCTTCCACTGTTGACAGTTGAGAGAGTAGAGTTTCTTTCATGTGGTAGGACATTATATAGAACAAGTGGGAAATGGGCTAACTATAACCACAAGCATCTTGAAACATAACGCGAGTAAAAGAAAAACACAGTTAGTTTTGTTAAGATTTTGTTTTGAGAGAAACTTGCTATGTGCTGCAGGCCAGGCTTGAATTTCCTATGTAGCACATGCTCGCCTCAAACCTCACAGTCCTTCTGTGTCAGCTTTCCAAGTACTGGAGTTACAGGTGTTCACCTTCATCCCTGACTTTGACTTAGTTTTTATACAGTTTTAAAACAGGCAAGGCTAGAGTGTTAGAAGATCGAATAAGTGTTACTTGGCGAGAGTGTATGAGTCACCTTTCTGTCACTTTAACAAAATACTAGACACAAACACTTGGAAGGAGGAAGAGTTGGTTCCGGACCATAGCCATCTAATTCCAAGGCAGAGACATCATGGTGGAAATGCGTGGTGGAGGAAAGTTGTTTACTTCATGGCAGCCAGGGAAAGGGCCAAAGAGGGAGGGGCTAGAGACAAGATGTACCACCCTTCAAAGTCACACCCCTCGTGCTCTACTTCCTCCAACTAGGCTCCACATTTGCACATTGCTGCATGGAGGGTTCAACCCTTGATACATGAGTCTTTCGGAAGCGTTTCATATTTAAACCCTAACATTCCACTCCTGGGTCCCCAAGACTCGTACCTATTTTATTATGCAAAATGTATTTAGTCCATCTTTTGTTTTTTCTTTTTTGAGACAGGGTCTTGTTATGCCATTCAGGCTGGGCTTGAACTCACTGTGTAGCCCAGCTGGCCTCAAACTCATGGCAATCCTCCTGCCTCAGCCTCCTGAGTGTTAGGGTTACAGGCATACACCACCACACCCAGCAATCCATCTTCAGGAGTTGTCAAAGTCTCAAATTTCCAGCATTGTTCAAAAGTTCAAGTCCTCTCTCCTTTGGGACTCAAGGCAGCTTTTAGCTATGAGCCCCTGTAAAAATAAAAGAGAAAGCTATGGTCTCCCCAGACACCATGGCACAAGGAGAAAATTCCTATTTCAAAGGGGAAAGACAGGAGAGTAGAGAGAGATTGGGGTAAAGCAAGACTGACACCCAGCAGAGCAGACATTAAATCGTGTAGCTTCACATCTGGCATCCGAGACAGATGGTAGTGAGATTGTGAGTTCCAGAGGGCTTGGGCCCCATGGCACAAGTTAGATGGGCCCACAGGGGCTCCATCTGGAGATGCCTTTGCTCAAAGCCTGCACCTTACCTCAGCAGATGTTCCATGTTACTAGTATCTCCAACTTCCTGGGATCTCCACTACACCTTTGGAATTCCACTGGATTTTCCCACAGCTTCACACACTGCTCTCTCAATGGATTCTGGGAAGAACCCTAGCCCTGTTACACAGTTTTGCCTGGCCTCCTAGGCCATCCTTTGAAATCCAGGTGGAAGACCCCTTAACCGTTGCATTTTGCATGCCTGCAAACCCAGCATCATGTGGATAATGCCAAGATCGACCATCAGCTGAAGCAGTAGCCTAGCCCGCTTGGACCACAACTGTAGCAGCCTCTGAGTGCCTGGATGGCTAAGCATGGTGAAAGGAATCCTGGGGAAATGTTTACTTAACCCTGTGTGAGAAGGGTGCCCCAGAGCTTTCTTCTCAAAGCAAAATTCTTCAAATGAGTTTACACCTTACACTTTTGAGAAGGTGGGTTCTGGCCAACTCCTGAGAGTTCTTAAGCCATCTTTCCTATTGCCCCCTACAAAGTTACTTAGCTTCTTCTTTTTTTTTTTTTTTTTTTTTTTTTTGGTACTGGGGATTGAACTCCAGTCCTTGTGCTTGCGAGGCTGGTGGCGGAACCACTGAGCTAAATCCCTGGCCCATCTTTTTAATTGCTCTAATCTCTTCCACAACCATATCTTCCTTGGCTGCACCATTAAACAAACTTTTTCTGATCAAACTGCGGATTTTCTCCTCTGCTTTTTTCCCTGATACACACTGTGAATATGGTGACTCTTACTGATCATAATCTTTTCATTAGCTCCTGTGTCTGTTGTCTCTTTTGTTATCTGGGAGGCTGAGGTAGGTGGATTGCAAGTTTGAACCCAACCTGAACTACACAGCAAGTTTGAGACTAGCCTGACTACAGAGTGAGATTCTGCCTCAAAAAACAAAACAAAACAAAAACCATTACTTGCATTACATTTATGATAGTGAATACATAGAAACACCTTTACTTTTTATATAGGAGGTGTGTAAATGACATGTTTACTACATTTTTAAAATTTTTACATTAAAATTACTCTGGGAAATGCTGCCTAGTTTATCCTCTTGTGAAGATTCATATTAGCTTATCAAGAGGTCTTTGAATCCCGGAGTAAAGAGTCATATTGTTGGGCTGGGGACTTAGCTCAGTGGTACTGAGCCTGCCTTGCAAGCACAAGGTCCTGAGTTCGATCCCTGGAACGACCCCTGTCCCAAAAAGAGTCTTATTGTTTTCTAACATTTATTAAAGCAGGACTATTGTTTAAAGAAATAGTCTTTGGTATAGCTAAAGAGCTTGAAAGGAAATACAATAAGAAGATGATAGCAGCATTTATTTCTGGGTGCTAAGATTTTTTCCTTTTTTTGTATTTTCTGAAAAAGTTTCGCAGTAAATATTGATTTTATAATAAAAATATAATAAGGCTATCACATTTCGAAGTTGCATTTTTGAAGGAAAATGAAGACAGAGATCATTTAAGATGGAAGACAATTTAATTTTAACTTTGCTTTAGTAAACAGCATATTCTTCTTCACTGTCTTGGAGTCCAGTGAGCCTTGTAGTGGGCAGACTGAGTCTTCAGTGGACTGGCCCACCCACAAGAATGCTGAGAAAGGAAGACAGAAATGGTGAAATCTGAACTACTGTAGTCTACGTTCCTATATACTCTCTGCAGGGAGCTACTATATACCTGCAGGGAACAATGGATTTTTAGACACTTTCTTCTTTCAATATGAATTAAAATATTCCATACTGAAAAAAATGCTTTGATGACTTGAGAAAAGTTAAGAGTGTTTTCGTACACTTGGGATTAGAGGTAGTGGTAGAGATGTGCTCAGATAGTTTTTCTTCTTTCATTTTCAAAGTATCATTTTAGGGCCGGGGATTTAGCTCAGTGGTTCTGCCGCCTGCCTCGCAAGCACAAGGTCCCGAGTTTGGTCCCCGGTACCAAAAAAAAAAAAGTATCTTTTTAAAATGTGCTAATCAAACAATACAGTTTGTTGCAAAAGATTGGAAAGTGCTGACAGACAAGAAAAAAAATGAAAAACAACAATAATTCAATCTATTTACGATTACAAGGAGATAGTCAATGTCTAATACATCATTTAAATCCTGAGATGCTTTGCTTCTGTTTTAAATAACCACTTTACCAAGCTATATATCCTCTATAATAATCTGTAGTTTTCATGCAACAATATTTCTTAAATATCGCCACAGACCTACCCCACTAACATCAACATTTTGCCATGCAGTATATAGTACGGCAAGTACTGTATAGTAATCAGTATGAAGGCACAGTGCTTCAGCCAGTACATGACTGATGTACATTTAATTTGGCTCTATTTTTTCAATATTATAAACTGTCCTAAAAATCCCTTGTACAATTGAGCATGATGGTATAGACCTGTAATTCAAGCTACTGTGGAGGATGTGGCAGGAGAACTGCAAGTTTGAGACCCCTCCTGCACAATTTAGTAAGAACCTCTCTCAAAATAAAAATCGGCTGTAGATGTAGCTCAGGGTAAAGGTGCTGGATTCAGTCCAGTACTTGCAAAAATATTTAAAAATAATAAAAACAAAAAATTCCATATACTTGCATCTCTGAGATTTGTCAATGCCAGTAAACCCTGACGGTCACCTCCACTTCCTCCCTGGTGACACCTCAGGTAGTGAACTGCTGGCCTGGCCCTCGTTACAGCTGCAGGCAGTGGAGCGGAGGTGAGTACACAGGGTGCAGAAGGAGGCACAGAAGTTGTCTGCAACCTTCATTGTGAAATGCATTAATTAAAAATCAAGGAGTATTATTCAGAGTCTACTATCTGCCCAGCATTGAGTGCCCTTTCTGACTATAGACTTGTGTTCCTTTCTTGCTGCAACATTTTAAAAAAGTTAACTTTAAATATGTTTCTCTGTCTGATTATTTTGGATCTCTTCATCAAAGAAAGCAATTATGTGTCTCCTGTATCTATCATTTTTTTCTCTAATTTTACTTTCGCTGAAGTCTATCTCTATTTAACACTGTCTGCATTTTGTATCCTGTTTTCCATATCTTCTTTTATGTTTTTATCATTGTCTTGTCTCCTTTGCACTTCTTCATTTCTGTGGTGGCTTTTTTGTTGTTCATGCTTTTCTTGAGAAGAAGGAACAGGCCTGGTGAGCATACACCCAGTCTCTGTCACAGACTGTATCTTCCTGCTCACCCAGTGTCTCCGGCTAATGCCGGTGCTGTCAGCAGCGACCTCCAGCAGTATTTGCTGTGGAGAGCTGCTTTGTCCCATAACTGACCGAAGTGGGGTTATGGGGGTTCCAATCATTTCAGGTGAATGTGGGACAACTGACAGGGTCAACTAAGGCTTTGTGGCACTTGTGAAGCAGTCCAACTTCTCCCTTCTTCCCCTGCCCTTGAACCCTAAGGAGACCTCGAGCATCAAACTCCTGTTCCCTTGTCTGCTTCTCAGACATCTGGCCTATGACACACCCTTTCCTTCAGATGCACACCCCAGTCATCACTGGGTCCACTTCAAAGTCCACAGTTATCTGGGTGATGCTCGGTTCTCTCCAGTCTGGGTGGGGCTCAATTTAATTAAGTGACCCATGAACTACAAATTACTGCTCCTTATCTCTGCCCGTGCTAAACAATGATGGAGCAGGAAGAGGATTAACTAGCATAAACATTCCCAAGTGGAAAGAGGAAGCAGCCCTGGAATCCTGCTGTGCAGACCCTGATGCAGCCCAGATCCTGCTTTCCAGGAGGGGCTCCAGGTCCATTGTCTGCTGTCTGCAAGGTTCCTGTGACACATTAGTCTCTCTGTTTGCACCCGCAGCAAGCATTGCTCAGCGAACCCTCTTCAGGGTTCTTTGAAGCTGGTGTCCTCCTGGAAGGTCAAAGGTCTGCATACTCTTTACAATTGATAGGCCACTTAGTTCCAGTGTTAGGTTTCTTTGGAAATAAACTTATTTCAGAGTATTACTTGACTTCTAACCAGGGAATTTAGAAGCAATTTCAGTTTTTGAATACCGAAAGACCCCACATTTCTGTTCTCTATACCCTTCCATTTCTTCTTGCAAACTGGCCAATTATTCTCTGAGCTCATCTCTTCTGATACCTTTGTAGATCACTTTTGTAGATTCCCCCTACATGGACACTATCTATCTCCTACCATAGCACTGATCTACGAATTTGTAATTATTTGCATTTTTTTTCTGCCTTTCTAACAGCCAAGACAGAGACAGCCAGGTGTGATGGTGCATACCTGTAATCTCAGCACTTGGGCGACTGAGGCAGGAGGATTAGCATAAGCTTGAGGTCAGCCTGGGCTACACAGTGAGACTCTGTCTCAAAAAACCAAAACCCAAGACAAAAATACAGAGACAGAGACAGGCAAGTAGTTATCTTTTGGTAAATACTGATTGAATTGACAAAAATTGATCTATTTTGATTTCCTTAGGAATGCCTTTGGTTTCACATGATTTATATAAATAAATATTATGGTCAATTTTCCGGTACTTGAAAACAAAATCAATTATATATTTTCCATGTGTAGTTCCTTAGCCAAATGGAAAGAAAATTAGAAGTTGATGTTTTCTCTTCTTCCTTCAAACTCCCCCTTAACTACAAGTATACAGCTAGGTGGGGACCTTGGGAGTTTCTGCTCCCCCACCTCTCATGTCCCCTCTGTCCTCCAATGCCCTTGTCCTCCACTTGCTTACGTGAGACAACAGAGAGTCCCCATTAGGGACAGGTTGAGGAAAATAGCCACAATGGCTGCTGGAAACGTGGTATTCCTGAAGAGCTCATCCAGGTAAGCCCTGAAGTTGCTCAGCCAGGACTTCTGGTTTCCTGCAGAAAGAGCACAGAAATTCACTGTTGCGCTGCCCCCAGACGTTCAAGGGATATACACTGTTTCAAAAGAATATCTTCAATTGGGGATGTAGATCAGTGGCGCCATGCCCGCCTTGCAAGTGCAAAGTCCTGGGTTTGATCCCCAGTACCAGAAAAACAAACAACAAACAAAAGATATCTTCAGATTGACATCAACTAGGAACAATAATCTCGGCCCCAGATAGCTGAATGGTTGCAGTAAGTTTATGGAGTGCTTTGTGGAAGAAAGGCAAAAACTGATAACAAGTACATCTCAATGAAAATACTGTTGTCTGGAGGACACCTGGGAGTTGGTTCTTCAGGAAGCTGAAGAGTCACTGTTCTAGGGGAGAAAGAGAAGGCCACCAGCCCTAGGAGCAAAGCAAGAGGGCGCGATACCACTGGGAGGAGGAACTTGGGGGAAGTCTGTGTGTCCATCAGACTAAGGCCACACATGTTGAGTATTTTCTTTAGGAAATGGGGACACACAGAGAGGGTATCATGATTTTACCTCAAGGAAAGAGGTAGGGGAGAAGAATACTGTGTCTGCCATATATAGCTCAGAGGGTTCACCACTTGTCAGCATGATGCTTTCCAGCAGCAACCTGAGCAAAACGTGTGTGTACATTGGAAGCACAGCTTTGGGAGCCCTTAAGTCAGTGGTGGCGAACCTATGACACACAGCTGGCACACAGAACCCTCTCTGTCGACACGTGAGCCGAGTTGCCCTGGCAGCTAAGCATCATATAGCAGTTGTTTTTCCTAAACTAAAATCTCAGCGCTCAGGTTAATTGCAGTGTGGGCACTTTGCAATGAATAAGTGGGCTTGGAGTTGCGGTTTGGGTCCTTGTTTCCAAAAGGTCCACCATCACTGCCTTACATTGTAGATCAGTGAACCACCAGATTTACTTTACATTTCAAATCCTTTGTCTCGTCTTCCCTTATTCCCACTTTAAAACAAATTTAACTGTACCGTTGTTCTCTGGGAGTGTTTGTCAAATCCCATTAAAAGTTAGTATCTATGAGTTTGTCTGGCCATCTGTAGTAGAGGGTTTAGTGCATAGTAAGTGAGTTGATGCTTGGTAAACTAAACTGAACCAAACCAGTATATCTAAGCCTTCTTGTAAGCAGTATTCTAAACCATGAAGTCAGTTTTTCCTGACCTGAGACATGAATCTTCCGTTTTTCAAAGATAGGATCAATCATCCTAATAGCAAATACACCCCTCGAGCGTGGTTTCCATCCTGATTTGTCTTGCATTCCAAAGCCAAGTAAACGTGAAGGAGGGGAAGCTTCTGCCTCCAATAAGAAGCAAGTCAGTGAGCATAGCAGAAATGCAATGCAAAACAGCTTTAGGGGTTCCATGGCTTTTACTCTACCAAAGGGAGATTTCTTTGTCTTTGATTCTTTCCAGAGTAGCCTTATCTGAAAAATCAGAAAATGGTGGTTTAGTTCTTATTACCAAAGGTTTCTCAACTGTCACAAATATAAAAATCATTCACTGGCTTATATGGGTGAGTCCTGAACAGGGACAGTGTGCAGAGCCAAATGTATCTTTGTTTCCACTCCCACAACTTGTCCATTAGAAAAGGCCTATTAGCTTTATCTACCAAACAGATCTAGAATCCTGCCCCTTCTCACTACCTGCACAGCTAACCAACCTCATCTTTGTCCTTGCTTCCCTTCAGCCTCTTTTCCTGGGTATCAAGCGCTTATGATTTTTTTTTTTTTGGTTTTTTTGAGACAGGGTCTCACTATGTAGTTGAGACTGACCTGGAACTCACTACGTAGCCCAGGCTGGTCTCAAACTCACAGTGATCCTCCTGCCTCAGCCTCCCGAGTGCTGGGATTACAGGCGTGTGCCACCATGCCCGGCTTGTTTTGTTTTGCTTTTTATTGTTTTAAGTGCTTACTATTTTTAAATGAACAAATGATTAATTTTCCTAGGAAAAAGCTCAGGCCTCTTTTTCTTTGCCATTCCAGCAACCAGCTTCTGTAGCTGGCTATAGTAAAAGACGAGGGCTTTGAATGACTGTAGGGTCACCTACTGAACATGATCTGAGATTTAAATCTGACGGGTAGCTTTTAGAAAGGATTTCAGCTATTTTTAAAAAAAATTAATTTTAGTAGTACACTTTAGATATAAGCAATGATCTCATCGATCATAGGAAATTTGTACCTGTACATGATATATCCTGATTCTTCTCCCCCTCCATCCCGTCTCCTTCTTTCAGCTCGTCTCCTCTCCTGATTCACAAAGGCTTTGTTTTCATTTTTTTCATTGGTTGCCTTGATAAAAGAGATAATGCCATTTTCCTTTTGTGCTGCCTTGAATACTGTTTAAGACGTGCTGCCTGAAGTTTCTTGGCCATCTTACTATCACGAGGCAACACCCATGAGGAAAAGGCCGAGAAAATGGTGCATACTCTGGTTATAGCAGTTTCAAGCCACTCTACTGATATCTACACCTGCTCATGAGCCATTATACTTTGGTCTTTCTGTTAGGGTATTTATAATTGATACATCCATTTACTGTTTGATGGGGCTTAAAGAGACATAGCTGGTGGGATGCCACTTACCTGATAATTAACTGAGCACCAAGGCATTCAAAGAAACCATAGAATTGAGCCTTGTTATTTAGAGGGCAGAAGTCTTCAGAGTCTTCCCTTTAGGTTTCTACAGTTCTAGATAGAATTCTACCACTCTCTTTATGATGTCATCAAGTACACTTGACCCTCCCCCAAGTCTCCCTCTACTTGATACTAACATAGAGGTCATTTTTCTGTCCAGACATACACATCTATGTTGACACTGAAACGCATTATCTCTGTAGTTGTAACCTCTTAGGCTTGAAGAATTCCATGGTACTTTATTCACTACACTATATTTGCTGCACTATGCAACAGTGTATACACGGAATTTAATAGACGATAAAGGTGGCATTTCAAATCAGTAGGAGAAAAAGATTATTTAATATAATCATGGATGACTGGCTATTCATTGGACTTTGTAAGAAATGTGGCTATTCATTTGGATACACTGAAGTGAGAGCCCTTTGCTACAATCTGGGAAAAAGCTTAGTTCTATATGAAGCTGGGGGTGTAGCTCAGTGGTAGAGCACTTGTCTAGTGTGTTAGGCCTTGGTTTGATCACCAGCACGGCCAAAAAATTCCATTTGGATCAAGGACTAACAAAAAAATAAAACAATATAACTTTTGGTGTAAAATTTCAGTGAGTGTTTTTATAATCTTGGTGTAGAAAAACTGTTATGTAATAAAACCCAAAGCCATAAATAAAGACACATAAATTTATGACATAAAAATGTAAAGCTTTCATGCAGCAATGCACTGCTAAAAAGGTAAAAGGTTGACAAATTAAGTAATAAATTTCACAATATATATGACGGATATCAGATTAAGATTGTCAATATGTAAAGAACTCTTTATTTTTTATTAGTACTTGTTTGAAGTACCTAATGATTATATTTATCACTTATCGTGGGGGAGTCTGTATAGAACATAACACAGCTTAACTCTTTTTTTTTTTTTTTTTTGTACCGGGGATCAAACTTGGGTCCTTGTGCTTGCGAGGCATTCAGTGAAACCACTGAGCTAAATCTCCAGCCCTACAGCTTAATTCCTTTTTGTGAGGTTACCGGGGATCAAAATTAGGACCTAGTATTTGCGAGGCAGGTGCCACTGAGCTAAATCCCCGGCCTTAATTCTTATTTTTTTTTTTAATCTCCTTCCTCTCCCATCCCTCCCTGCACCTTCCAACTCTTGTTTCTATTTGCAAAAGCTCTATTTCCTTTTTTATTCTTCAGCTATCTTTCTTTGCTTCTTTCCCCTTCCCTCCTCCACCCTCCATCTCTTATTCCCCTTCCCATTCCAAAAAAAAAAAAATTGCCTTACTTATTATTATCTATCTTTCATTTTGCTTTTTATTCATACTTTGGGCTTCTCATCTAAGAGAATCCATGTGACATTTAAGCTTGTGTGCCTGATTTATTTCACTTAACATTATGGTCTCAAGCTGCATCCATTTTCCTACAAATGACTCATTTATCCTTCTTTATGAGTAGTACTCCATTGTGCATGAATATACTTTATTATAGAGGTTGCTTCCAAGATTTAGCTATTGTGAATTGTGCTTACATAAACATGGGTGTGCATATATCTCTGTAATGTGATGACTTTAACTCTTTTGAGAAGATAACTAGAAGGAGAATAGCTCCATTTTTTGAGGAATTTCTATACTAATCTCCATAGTGGTGGGACTAGTTTATAATCTCACCAACAGTGTGGAAGAGTTCCTTTTCCCTTGCAGTCTTGCCAGAATTTGTTATTATTTGATAGCTTGATGATAGCTATTCTTACTGAAGTAAGATAGAATCTCAGTGTTGTTTTAATTTGCATTTTTCTAATGGCCAGCAATGTCGAACATTTTTTCCGTGTATTTATTGGCCATGTGTACTTCTTCAAGAACTCTTTTTTTTTTTTTTTTTTGCAATGTTGGGAATGGAGTCCAGGGCCTTTTACATGCTAGGCAAGTGCTAGGCAAGTCCTTTACCACTAAGCTATGCCATGCAGCCCTAAAAAATTATTATGAACTAATTTTTTAAAAAATTCTCCATGGCCGGGTGTGGTGGTGCATGCCTGTAATCCCAGCACCCGGGAGGCTGAGGCAGGAGGATCGCTATGAGTTCAAGACCAGCCTGGGCTACATAGTGAGTTCCAGGTCAGTCTCAACTACATAGTGAGACCCTGTCTCAAAAAACTAAAAAAAAAAAAAAATTCTCCATGTAAGGAAAGCAAAAATTATAAATCTGTTGGGATTCTATCAGTGTCTTAGTTACTTTTATTGTGAGACAAAATACACGACACCTAAAGTGATGGTTTAAGGGAGCTGGGGATTTAGCTCAGTGGCACCTCGAAAACACAAGGTCCTAAATTCAATCCCTGGTATTGAAACAAACAAACAAACAAACAAACAAACAAAAAAAGAGTGCCTTAATTTGGCTATGTGTTAAGGAGATTCAGTCCATTGTTGGCTGGCTTCAAAGGCAGAAACACCATGTTGGAAGAGTGTGTCTGAGCAAAGTTCATGGAAGCCAGGAAGTGGAGCAGAGGAATGGCCAGGAAACAGGCCAGGGACCATATACAGTATAATACCTGAAGTCATGCCTCTATACCGCACCCAGAAACACCCACAAGTATGGTCCTCCAGTCCCCTGGGAAGATCCCAAAGCCAGTTAAATTGACAGTCTACCATAACTGCTGTATCCCACCACTTGTCAACTTACTACTCAAACACATCTCTTTTAAGTTTCTCAATTTTTTTATTGTGTTTTTGTCCAAAATTTTCACTATGAATCTGTCTATAAGCAGCCAGCAGTACCCATGCCACAGCCTGAATGTTAGGCTGCACTGAAATTTCCTCTGACAGATCAGTTAATCAACTGTCTTTAATCTCAGTCCCCTGAAAATTCTCAGGACGTGAATAAACTATAGGCTTTTTTTTGCAAGAGGATAACCATATGAACTACACTCAAATTGCCAACGCAAACCTTGTCGTAACTAAAACCTCCTCAGCCTTCACTGTCTGCATTCCTATCAGCATTCTAATCTTCTGACCTCCAACCAGAATCACCTATCAATCTCTGCTTAGAGCATTCTAGGGTTTCTCTACCCAACATCTCCAAATCTTTCCAAACTCCTGCCCATAAACCAGTTCCAAAGGCTTCTAAACCCCATGATCAGGTCACAGCAACAATACCAATTTTCTGTATTATTCAACATTCTTGTAGGCACAAAACCTGACACTCACCATTTAGAGGATAGGTTTGATTTGGGTCATGTTTTAAGGAGATCCAGTCCATGCTTGGCTGGCTCCAAGGCAGAAACAGCATGGCACAAAGGCATGACAGTAGAAAGTGGCTTAGTTCATGGCAGCTAGAAAATAGAACTAGGAAACAGTGTCAGTCAGGAAATGGTCTGGGTACTGAATATAGTACCCAAGGTCACACCTCCACAGCTCAACCAGGGACAACCAAAAATATGCTTCACCAATCCCCTGAATGGACTCCAAAGCTAACTACTCTAACCACCACATTTGGTCACTACCAAATCCCCACAAAGTAAGCCAACAGTGAGACTGTGCATAACCTGACAATCAGCATTTTGTGCTTGCTTTGACTTTTCAAGTCTAAAAATAATATGGCTACCGTTATTTATTTCTGTATGACAAGTTAGCACCAAACTCAAGAGCTGCAAGGAAGAAAACTTTACACCCTATAGTTCCTGTAGATCTGGAATTTTAGGGTGCTGGATTCTGACTTGGGGGTCTTTGATGAGGTTGCACTCACATGTAATCTGGGGCTGCAGCCATCTGAAGGCGTGACTGCATGAAGGATCCACTTCCACCAGCCACTCACATGGCTTAGGTGATTGCACTCTAAAGGACTTCATGTCTACTTTACTGTTCTGGTATCAATGTCTGAAATGTCTTAATCATTCTATCTTTGATGTTGTGTTTCTTAATGGTTTAATGGGACAATGGAGCATGCCCACGAACAGAGTAATTCACTGCTGTGTACCGGTCCCCTTCCATTCGTTGATACTTTATTTCCACGTAGTGTTTGCAATGCCCACAAACATGGGAGTTTGGTGAAACACAAAGGGAGTGTAAGATATGAGTATTAACAATTAACATCTGTGACCTAAGAGGTTACTTTCTCTTTGAACTGAGCACTTACCCTCAAATTGGTGACATAGAAGAAAAGAAAAAGAAGGTGATCAGGGGTGTGTGTGTGTTTGTGTGTGTGTGTGTGTGTGTGTGTGTGTGTTTTAGTCCGTCCTTGTTCACCACTAAGCCAAAGGTAGTAGAAAAAATTTAACAATTTGAATTAACCAGCATGAATTTTACTGTTCATATTTATGTTGTACAATGCTAGTGTTAAATGCAAATGTAAGAGCAGTTAACTCATCTGCAGAACCACGAAAACTATACAACTTAGGTTGGTAGCTTGTTCACATGACCTTTACTATAAGCAGCAAGAGAAACTAGGCATTGACCTCAACAGTTTACTTGGAAATCTCCTTAGCTAGATCAGCTAGCAGATCACACACATTTCATACTTTTTATTTTATTGATGGTGATAGTATTGCTAAACTTTCTGCCATTACACAAGAAGGGTCCCTTTTCACCCAGTTTTTTCTTTTCTTTCTCTTCGTTCTCCTTCCTTCCTTCCTACCTCCTTGCTTCCTCCTTTTCTTTGTTTTTGTGACAAGGTAGTGCTATGTAGTTCAAGCTAGACTTGAACTCACTATGTAGCTCAGGTTAACCTTGAACTCATGGAGATCCTCCTGCTTCAGCCTCCTGAGTACCAGGATTACAGGCATGCACCATCACACCCCCGGCTTCATCCACTTTCCAATAACATGTTTCACATTTCTTCTGAACTCTCACCAGCACTGTCCTCAAGAATTCGGATATTAATAACTCTGGAAATTCTGCTCAGTCTGTCCGAGATGACTTAGGCTTTTTTTCTATCATGCTCCTCAGAGTTCTCCAAGACATCACCAACTTTCAGGTTCCAAAGCAGCTCTTGTATTTTAGTAATTTGGCGGGAGGGGACAGCCCACGTTCAGGTACCGGTATCTATATTTATAAACTATTGCTGCATTACAAATTACCTCAAACCTTAGCAACTTAAACAACAACTACAATTTGGGAGTGTTGGGCATGGCTTAGTTGAGTGTCATTGGCTCAGTCTTTCACAAGGCTACAGTAGCATTGTGTCTGGTTCAGTGTGCTGGGGGTTATCTTTCCAAGCTGGCTCCAGAGGCTGCAGTCAGGCCTCATGTTCTTATCAGCTGTCGGCTGTCACAACAAAACACTGGCTTGTTGGGGATGAATGAGCAAAAAAGAGTTTTTTGTTATTGTCACTTCATCTCAGAAAGAACATTCCATCAGGGGCTGGGGATTTAACTCAATGGTCTGCACCTGCCTTGCAAGTACAAGGTCCTGAGTTTGATCTCCAGGACCAGAAAGAACAGAAACAAAAACAGAACATTCCACCAGTTTTGCCATATTCTATTGGTTAGAAGTTACAGTTACCAGGGAGGTAATGACAAAAGAACATGAACACCAGAAGTCATGGACTGTTGCGACAGCCTTAGAAGCTGCCTGCTACATTAGTCCTTAATAGAATGATTCCATATCATTAAGATCTCAACACTCTATTTAAAAATTTGTTAATTTAATAAAATTCCAATGTAAATATCAACATGGGTGTTTAAAACTTGATAATTGAATGTTTTACCCGTGGGTCACGTTGAAGCCACTTTTGAGATGGGAATTCCCCGTTCATGTAATTTATTTAAGGAATGCACTCAGAAGAAACCACAAAGGGAGGGAAGGGGAAAGGAAGGAACTACACAAAATTGGGGTTTATATGAAATGCTGCTTTAGCATGATCTCATAGGGTGCACTGGACCATAATTTGTATCTCAGAGCCCGACATTCCTTGTAATAAGGAATTCAGGCTTTGTACTCTGGCCCTACTTGGTCCTTGTCCATGGCCTGCCAGGGATCGGCGGGGGTGGGCAGGCTCAGGTAACCCTCTGAGGTACCTCTGAGTCATGTCAGGTAGCTTGCAATTCACAGAGTCCTCATCCTGCCTCTAATACCCTATGTGCTGGTAGTGTTTCTAGTGGAGCTGACTAGATCTGTAAGATTAAGCTACTTCTCAAATTGCCTGGACAGTTTCTCAAATAGTTTTCCTTAGTTTAGCACCCACCTTCACCTCAATTTCCAGAATTATTCAAATTCACCAATTCCCAGCCTTTATTTTAGGGGTGCTGTAGTGTACATATAATTGCTTCTTGACTATCTCAACAGATACTTCAGAAGAATGTGAAGGTTAAGATTCATTCAACTGGCCATTTCACCTTAATTTTCTTTCTTGTACATAATATATGCTTTTGATAGGATCTTTGAAGATTTGTTCTTTACTTGTAAAAATAAAAATTCATTATCCCTGGAATTTAACATTGGTCCTCAGACTATGTCTTATTTTAAGGTTCTGCATTGCACTGAAAAACTCATGTCCATTGGACAGCAACTACCATTTCTCTCTTAGTCTTTCCATGAACTCTTCTTCAGATTGAGGTCTATTTCTTATTTTATTTCACCTCTCATAAATTATAGTACGTTTTACTCTCAGTTCAATATAATCACTAATTTTTGCTTTTCTTTTCTTTTCTTTCTTTTTTTTTTTATGGTTCTGGGGATAAAACTCAGGTCCTTGGGCTTGCAAGGCAGGTGGTGGAGCCTCTGAGCTAAATCCCTGGCCCTTCTAATTTGGTTTTCTAAAGTGTCCATTGTGCCATTCAGTGCCTCTACTTACTTAAAAAATATCATCGTACTCTGGGCATGGTGGTTCATGCCTGGCATCCCAGCACTCGGGAGGCTGACGCAGGAGGATTGTCAAGGTTACTTGGACTACATAGCGAGACCCTGCCTCAAAACACCCCTCCATCATTGTTCACATTTTTACTTCTCAAGTAAAACACAATTTTCACAAGCATTTGTACATGTCGGTGCTTTATTAACTCATTACTAAAGAAACCAGCAGGAATGCAAAAGAACTGATTTCCAAGGCATTACAGAAGTAGAGATGTATAGTCAATGGGGAAAAAATATCAAAATAAGATCATTAAGTTCTGTACAAGAGTGGTTAAAATTGGATCTCTGTAAGTGGTTTTTAGTCATGATACAAAATTTCCCATTACATTGCTGTTGTGTTATTTGGGGGGGGGATGAAGGCATTGTTGGAATTACAAAGTTTATATCTTCTGTCCCAGACACCCATGGATTTCCCTCATTTTTCCATAGAAATACTGAAAATATGGTTTTTAGGACTCTATTATTTCCATTAATTTTCTTGGTCACCACAAATTTTATTCTTGATCTTAGCCAAAAGGCTGAGAAGCAGTTCACCACAAATTTTATGAAGATACTCGTTTCACCTCAGTGTTCCCAATAATTTTACATTCTTCACCCATTTTTGTTGATTGGAACTAAGACAAACCCCAAAAAGATAACAGAAAAACACAAAGTTTTTTAAAAATTAAAAAATTAAGACAAAAGGGTTTTATATAGATATCCTTCTGATACTAAATTTAGCCAAACAGACTTCAGTGTAGTAGCTCTTATCTCCATTTTGCAGACTGTGAAAATGACTTGCCTTTTGATATCAAGAGTGTGTTGATATGATCCCAAAACATGTTTCCTTCCATGCTTGATCAGGAAAATAAACAAGTCATAATCTCATTTCAAATGTATGACGCCTAATGTGAAATGTTTACATCACGAATATCTTCTGGCAACTTTCAACATGCCATCTTCCTACAACAGAGGAAGTTGTGGTTTTATGAGTGCTAACGTCAGGAGATGCAAGATTAACATTTTGGGAAGCTTCAGGGAAATGTCTGCTGGGACTATACATAAATTCATAACAAATTATGGTACTCTAGACAGTGTGGGGTGATACGCAGCTTGGAAGCTGGACAGGAGCGATGGTCTGGAGTCGGGGAATGTCTCGGAGCTGAGAAGGAAGGCGAAGTGTCCCTCAGTAGAACTGCTGGGCCTCACAGCCCAGAACCTCCAGCCTTAGGGCAATCTGGTGTGCCCAGCTCTGGGGGTGAATTCTCAGGTAGCGAGTCATTAGTGGGGGGTCTAGAGAGTTCACCACAGGTGTGAAGGAGTCTTGATTTCCCTGAAAAACCTGAAAGAGGAAAAATAGCATTTCTTAGTGGTCTGACAGGAGCAAAATTAGTGTTTATTTCACCCAGCCAGATCCCTCAAATTTGTCCTCCTACTCTGTCAGTCACTCACCTGTAGCTCCTCTCCCACATAGCCCTTCCTTTCCTTGGCAGCCATCACAATACCCACCACAAAGTACCAGCACTTTTCTTACTTCTAATTGCTTCCACTGGTCTGAGCTTAAACCCTGGCAGGTGATTAGATGGGCCGGGGAAACTGAGTGCAACATCTAGAATTAAGGGCACCCTCCTTGCCTGCTGTGGAGGCCTTTGCTGTAGCTATGCTGTATATCTAAAATATTCTTACCCCCTTTCCAAAATCTCAGTGCAATTGAATGCTTTGCCATAGATCACACCTAGTGCCTCTGTTGGGTCATTTGGAAGTAGGCGTCATCAGGGATCGCCAGCTGACTCCTCAGTGAGTGGATTTACCATTGCAGATGAGTATACAGTGACTACTGAATAAACCATAGCCATTGTCATTAGCTACCTAATGAAGTTGTTTTCGCACATGTTGGTAGCAACTGTAAATGGCAACAGAAGCAACACGATAAGGATACAATTTGATGGGAGGGGATGTAGGAGGGAGAAGAAAGAGGCAAGAGAGCCCAAGACTTGAGGCACCTTGTCACTCTGGAACTGTGGAGGTAAGCCCACCTGTGAGCCAGTGGGCAGCTCAATCTCAAAGAAAATCTTTCTGTGTTTCACCATAAAATATGCTATTTCTATACATTTGATACTGCTTTATCAGATGAAATAATATTTCTTCTAGTCTGTTTGCTGATTTTAAAAACTTTTATTAGTACATGTTTGTTGTACATAACAATTACATTCAAGTTTTGTGATTTTTTTCATTAAGAATACATGTTGAACTTTATGAAATTTTTTCAGCATTTATTGATCATATAACCTTTCATTCTGTCAATGTGATGAGTTATGTGAAATTTCCAATGTTTAAGCCAACTTTGAATTCCTAGGATAGATCCAATTTAGATCAATATTGCTAATATTTTATTTGGGATATGTTTTCATTAGCTTTCTGTGATTGTAACAAATACCTGAAATAATAAAATTAATAGGAGAAAAGGTTTATTTTGGCTTAAGGTTTTGCTGGTTTTAGTCCATGGTTGATTGGTCTTGTTGCTTTCAGACCTGTGGTGGAGGAAGCCTGTTCACTTTATGGGAACCAGGAAACAAAAGAGAGGAAGGGATGGGGTCCCATTCCTCCCTTCCAGGGCACCACCCACAGTGATTTAAAGACCTTCTACTAAGTCTTAAATTTTCTACCACCTCCCAGTAACACTAATCTGGGAAATAAGTCTTTAACACAATGGCCTTTGGAGAATATTCCAAATCCAAACTATTATATTTTGCTCCTTTCCTTACAAATTGATTAACTCAGGTAATTTTTAACAGTGATAAAAAGCTGAGTAGCATGTTCATGAATAAAATAGGCCTATGAGTTCCCTTTTTAAAGATTGTCCTTATCAGGTTTTATTTTCAAGGTTATGCTATCATTCTAGGAATTGAATAATGTACCATATTTTTTCATATTCTGGAAGAATCTCTGAGATTCATATTCTCTGCCTACTGAAAATTGGGTAGAATATTAGTATAGCTGTGTGATAAGATTTACGAATACCAAATGAAGTCCATAAATATGGTAAGTATCATGGTTTTCAATTCTCCTCCTCCTCCTCCTTTTTCCTTTTTAATTTTTGAGAGAAGGCCTCACTATGTAGTTCAGGCTGCTTTGAGCTCACTATGTAGCCTAGACTGGCTTCCAACTCGTGATAATCCTCCTATCTCACAACCCACAATGTGGGAAAAATCTTTTTGCCAGCTGTTCCTCAGACAAAGGACTACTATCTAGAATATATAAATAACTCAAAAAAATCAGACTCCCCCAAATTTAAAGACTGAATCCAAAAATGGGCATTTGAAATGAATAGATACTTCTCAGATGAAGAAGCAGCAAAGAAATATATGAAAAAATGGTCAACATCACTGGTCATATGAGAGACACAGATGAAAACAACACTGAGATTCCACCTCACCCCAGAAAGAATGGCTGCTATCATGAAATCAACCAATAACAAATGCTGGAGGGGCTGTGAGGAAAGAGGAACCCTTCTCCACTGCTGGTGGGAGTGCAGACTGGTGCAACCACTGTGGAAATCAATATGGAGATACCTCAAACAACTAGGATTAGAGATTCCATTTGACCTAGCTATTCCCCTTCTTTGTATCTTCCTGAAAGAATTAAAAGAACCATACCACAATGATATATGTGCACCCATGTTTATAGTAGCACAGTTTAGCTAAATCTTGGAGACAGCCCAAATACCCACCCACTGGTGACTGGATAAAGAAGATGTGTTTTTTTCTTTATAAAATAGAGTACTACTCAGCCACAAAGAAAAATAAACTAGAGACAATTATAAGTAAAAGGGTGTACATTGAGGCCATACTCTTAAGTGAAATAAATAGGACACACGTGTAAATATTGAATAGTTTCTCTGGTGTGAGAAACTGAAACTGCAAATGAGCACCAAAATATATAAGAGATGATGTGAAATAGAAAGAAAATGTTCAAAGGGGAAGGGGAACTGGGGAGGGAGGGGCCGAGGGAAAGGAAAGAAGGGAAAGGAAAAAAATGATGAAAAAAGAAGGAAAAAATGGAAACAAAGCTTATGTAAATAGGGAGAGCTGGAGGGGTTGAAAAGAGGGAAGGGGGATGAGAAAAAAATAAGAACCAAGATACATTGTGTACAGGTATAATGATGAATGTGATCTATCTATCTATCTATATGTATATATACCTAAAATGTACCAATCAACTTAATGAATAAAAGAAATCCTCCCATCTCAGCCTCCCGAGTGCTGGGATTACAGGCATATACTACCACACCTGACTTCCTATATTTACTAAAAAATAATCCATATTACCTAATTTTCCAAACTTATTATGCAGGATCTTTATGTCCTCCTTTTCATTTTTTATATTGATTATTTGTACTTTCTTTTTATATCATGCTCAATCCTGTAAGAAGTTTGTAAATTTTCAAGGAGCCAATCTTTGGTCTTGTTTATTCTCTTTCTTATATTCTTATATTGTTACTTCATTAATTTTAGACTTTTAATTAATTTTTTAAATTATTTTTATTATTTCCTTGATTCTAATTTCATCTGATATGATCTCATCTTCTTGAGATGTACCTTAGCTAATTATTTCAGCCTTTCTTCTTTCTTGGTATATGAATTTCTGGAGAAGTCTGTTGTCAGACGAATTGAGACTACCTTATGTATTATTTGTGTGTTTTCTCTTTCGCCTCAAGAATCTTCTCTTTATGTCTTGCCCTTGAGGGCAGGATTGCTTAAGTTGTGTCTGACTGGTGACCTTTGACGTTCCTGGACCAGGCCACTACTCTAGATCTGGGAAGTTTCCTCTTACTATTTCTTTGAATAAGCTTTCTACCTCTTTGGTGGTTCCAAGTTCCTCATAAACCTCAATAACCTGGATAATCTCTTTTGCTACAGTTCCAAAGTTCCTGTAAGCTTTCTTCATCTCTCTTCTTTCTTCTCCTCAAATCATATATTTTTAAATAGCCTGTCTTCAAGCTCACAAATTCCTTCTTCCATTTGGTTTATACCTTTGATTATTTTTAATTTTGCCCAGTGTATTTTTCCACAAAAGGATTTCTCTTTTATTTTAAAAATTGTTTCTATGTTTTCATTAAATTTCTCTGGTGGACCACTGAAATGTGTGTGTGTGTTTTCTTTAAGCTCATTTAATTTCCTTAAGAGAAATGTTTTAAATTCTGAGAGTTCTCCTATACCGATTCCTGTCTGATTGGTTGCTGGCACCACATTTTGAATCCTAGGTGGGGGTCACGGTTTCCTGAACTCTCCTGATGTTTGTTAGCATGTAATTCATCTGGGAAGTGAAGGACTGGTATTCATTTCAGTCTACCCAGTCTGGTTTTGTGCCTGTCTTTGCAGAAATTCTAAGCAGGCTTTTTTTCCTGAGTCTGCCATCACTTTCACTACTAGATGGCAGGCTAAATCCAGGAAAAAGAAAATGCATTAAAAAAATAAAATGGAGTACTTCTCAGCCATAAAGAATGAGAAACTAGAGACATTTATAGCTAAATGGATGCACACTGAGGCGATACTCTTAAGTGAAATAAATAGGGCACATATGTGTAAATACTGAATAGTTTCTCTAGTGTGAGAAACTGAAAGTAAATAAGGACTAAAAGGTATAATAGATAATGTGAAATAGGAAGAAAAGGTGCAGAGGGGAAGGGGAAGTGGAAGAGGTAGGGGAAAAGAAAGATGGGAATGGAATTAATATGAGAAAAAGACAAATGGAAACAAAGTTTCTGTAGATAGGGAGTGGGGAGGGGTTAAAGAGAGGGCAGGGGAGTGGAGGGAAAATAAGAACCAGGATGGATTATGTAAAGGTGCAAATTTCCAACGATGAATGTCACTATATTGTTTACTTTAAATGTACCAATAAAATTAATTTTTAAAAATCCAGGTTTGTCAAGTCAGCTATTGTGCTATTTATCTCAGCACTGGAGGGTGATTGAAGCCCAGGTTTGTCCCAGGTGCAGTCCCTGGCTTGTGTCCTGTTCACATAGGGCCAAGAAGCATTCACAGAAAGCTTCTACCATCGGTAGAAATAAAACACATATCTTTTCGATAATATTTGCATAATTTCTGTTTTCATTTTTGATCTGATACTTTTCTGTATCTAATGTTTAAATATGTCTCTTGTAAAAGGCAGAGATTTTGGTTTTGCTTTTTTGAGTAATACTTTGTCTTTTAACTGAATTATTTGTCCATTTGCAATATAGCTAATCACTTTATATTTTAATTTAAGTTTGTCATCTTGCTATTTTCCTTGCCTGTTTCATGTTTCTTTATCTGCTTGCTTTTGTTTAGACTTATTGAGTGTATTTTATCCATTTATATATTTTCTTCTATCATTTTGGGAGCCCCATACCATATTTTATAGTCTATTACTTCTTACTGGATAGCCTAAAAAATTATAGCATGGATCACCAAGACTTCATGTCAGGCTTATAATGACTACCATTTAAATTATCTAGCAAACCCAGTGAAGACTGTTTATAATCACTAAAAAGGCTTGAGAATTTAGGTTGCTGATCAGAGTGCAGTACAGGTATCACTAAGCATTAGACGAACAACTCATTCTTCAGCTCTCTGATTCTTGCCATCAACCTGGATGACATCAGGATTGACGGGGAGAATCAGCTCTTGGTTCCACTCTGTCATTGTCTTAGTTACTTTCTCGTTGCTGAGACATAATTCCTGACACTCAAGACTTAAAGGAAGAGAGGTTTATTTTGGCTTATGATTTGTAGAGGCTTTGGTCCATAGTTGGCTAGTTGCAAGGCAGGGTGGCATGGAAGAGGAGAAACAGCTAGTGGCATGGTGGCAGGGAGCAAGAACAGATCAAGGGAGGAGGAGGGAGATGGAACCTTCCAGGCCACACCCTCAGTGACCACCTTTTCCAACTAAGCTCCATTTCCCAACACCACAGTTAGCTAGAAACTCATCTGTGAACTAATCCAGTGATGAGTATCACACCCCCATGATCCAGTCACTTTCCCAAAGGCCCACTTATGACTGTACAAGGCTTTGGGGCGACATCTGGATAAAGACCATAACAGTCATTTTTCTTGGGATTTTATATCCTTTATTAGAGTCACTGTGTTCTCTCAGGATGCCATTTATAGTGTCTTGCTACCTTCGATACTCAGTAAATTTTACTCTGAAAGTTGGATCACATATCTGGGCTTATCTCTAAAAGTGGAGCTCTAGGAGAGGTTTTGTGTCTTCTTATGGGAACACTATACCTTTATTTTGCCATTTTGTAAAAAGAGAGTCCAGTGATGGCCATCTTGACTGCTGGAGATGAGGAACTCCTTTACAAACATGCTGGTCAGGAGAGATTTCACTCCTTGGGTGATTATTCCAGTGACTTTCACTGTCTTCTGAAAGTCCACTTGCAGCCACTCTTTTGGGTTATTCACCTGAGGAAGACAGTGTTCAACTTGTAGTCTGTCAGTCACCATTTGCTCCTAGAAATCTCCAATTCCATTGTTAACCATGCCACAGCACGTATCACTCTGAATTCTGTTTCGTCTAGTACTGGGGATTTGACCCAGGGCCTTCACAATGAACTATACCCACATCACTTTTTAAATTTTGAAACAGAATCTCACTAAGTAACTAAGTTGTCCAGTCAGGACTACAGGCATGCATCACCATGCCCAGATCACTCTTCATTTTAATAGTTGGTAAGTCTTCCCTATTTGACTAAGAAAATTGAGGACCAAATTTTTTCATAGCTCATTCCTGTATCTTCAGGGTGAACCACTTAATAGGTGCCCAATAAATGCCAAGTGAATATTAGTCATATATAGACTGACAAATATATACATTGGCAATGCATATAAAACTATTTTGTTTTGCTCCCTGGAGGAGCAGAGACAGTTAATTCTATTAAGTCCCCTACAAAGCTATTCAGCAATACAGAATAATAAACTTGGTGGGTCTGGAAAATATCTTTGTCTAATGAACTCCATGTAACTGTAACCCTTTCCTTGAAGTACTGAGAAATCTTAATTATTAATACTTATCTGTAAAACTAAAGCTAAAATATACTATTATTATTTGACATATATTAGGCCAGTGCTGGAGTCAGATTCATCTCCCAGAAAATTCAACTGGTGATCATCCTTACCCACAGTGAATGCTGCGTGAAGTTACATGGGATATTCACAAAAAGCCCGTGGCTGTAGATGCCTATAGTGAACCTTCCGAGGCACTCTTTTTAGGAAAATAGTTGACAGAAACACCTCTAAAGAAATTTGGGTTTCTTTACTCTTCCCAAATGCTACTCTCTACTCTTTATCAGTTGAGGGTTAGAGATGTTGCTTCTTACCTGAGGTCTCCAGGCATTAGTCCTCCCCTGGAGGTGAAGCCGGGCTTGTGAAGGAGACCAGGTAGAAAACTTATTGGTGAAGTAGGACGAGGCAGTAATCTGTGCATCTGATATTAATTTACTCTCCATTCCCAGTGGTATGCTGCAACCTTGAAGAGATGATGAGAATGTTATCACAAGGATTAGTTACAGCCTTGGTTCTACTGGGCTGGCTCCAATACTCTAGGGCTACTGTAATCATGATTAATTCTTAGGCTCTAAATTTGCACAAATTCTGTTACTGTTAACATTCCAATGCGCAGCTGGTCAGTTCTGCTCAGATCTGTTTAACTTTGATTTTCCTTGCTAAGAGAAATATAGGATGTGAAGGTGATCGTCTCTGGGAAATCCCATGGTTAAACTAACAAATTCCCAGGTTTTCTCAGGAGTGTGTTGGTTTTATTTCTGATAGTTCTGCTCAGAGTCCTGAGACAGTTAATTCATCCTCCTGGTCTCAGGACAAGTAGTTAGTTATCCTGCTCATGCTTGGACAATAAAAGGATGTTGAATGACTTGGTACTTACTGTTTAAGTCACAGCCCATCAACTCCAGGCGAAGAGTGCTGCGAATGTTGTAATGGGTTGGGTGCAAACGGATGTACTGTGCAATAATTGGAGGATTAAAAATATTGTGTTTTACTCCAGATGAATCCACATTGCCAAAGAAGACCTATTAGGAAGGATTATCACAAATGGAAAGTGAATACAAAGTGAAAAGCAATTTCTCTTTCATATCTTACTTCGAATTTTGTCATCTACATTTCTTAACAATATCAAACATCTAAGTAAAACCATGCTGAACAGATAGTTGTTAGGATAGTATATGTGAAGGAGAAAAGCACCAGGAAGAGAGGAACAAGGATTATGTCTGATCTGGGGGAAAATGAAGTAATTTTCTACCTTGGCTTCCTGTATAAAGCTTATAAAAGTTGACGAGGACAGTTAGGCCTTTGCTATTCCAGTGTAGTACCACCTGGAAGCAATTAGAAAAGTAGCATTGGGAGAGTGACACCAGTAAGTTGGTGGAATAGGAGATACCGCGCTCTCGTTTCCCCTCCAAAGGAACAATGATTTGGCAGCCATCTGTGGTCAAAAGTACCTTTGTTGGAGTCTTAAGATTCAGGTAAGAGGTTAAGAAACCTCGGTGGAGCCCCAAACCAAGTATAGTTGCTTTGATAAGGCAAGCCTGAATCTTGGTGGCAGGCTGCCAACTGTGGTCCTGGCTGCAGAATCAGAAGCAGCTTATCTTGCATGGACTTAGCTCTAGATCCACTTGCATGTGGTCTGGACACCATCCTTATCCACTTAGGGACACGGGAGGGGTAAGTCCTGTTTGTACTCCAAGTAACAGGTATCTATGATTTAGATGTGGTTTGGAAGCGTGGTCCTCACTGTAGTGATGTTAAAAGGTGGCAGGACCTTTAAAAGATAGATCCTAATGGAAAGTCATTGGAGCCATTGCCTTCAGGAAAGATTAGGGTGGTTCTTCTCATGGGATCTCTGAGTTACTTCTCACAAGAGTGAATTGTTGTAAAAGTGCAAGCTTGGCCTCGGAATCATTCTCTGCCTTTCTGTATTGTCATATGATCTTTCCCTCTCACATACTGCTCCACTATTATGAGCCTATCTGCCATTTGGCTCCCACCATAGATGAGCATAAACCAGTGCCATGCTATTGAACCTCCAGATCTATGAGCTAAATAAATCTTTTTATTTATAAAGTATTCAGTCTCGGGTTTTTGTTATAGGAACAGAAAATGGACTAAAATAAATCCAATAACTTTGCACTCTAAAGAAACCGTGCTTCAGCACTAACTCCATACTACTAAGAGCTGTGAGTAGTTTGCCTGCCCAGGGAACTCCTGGGAACCATGCTGGTCCATGACTCCAGAAATAGGTTCATCCACGGGCCCTGAATACAGATACAGATCAACATTAGTCATGTTCTAGCATGGTTTGAAGGAAATCCTGTCTGAATATGCATTTGGTGGGAGCCATGTCCATATGCATTCATAAAACAAACTTGCTGAGCACAGGCTTAACTGGGGATCCTGAAGCAGCCCTGCCATCCAGTTTCAAGGCTGCTTCACCATGGTCTTCAGGCAGTCCTGCTTATCCAGGGATCTGAAAGGAGGAGCAGCCCTCCACATCCACAATAACAGGTCTACTGACTGAGGACCCTAGTGCACACCCAGAAGAGACCCTTCAAATGCATAGACATCAAAACAAGGCTACACAGACCACAAAGAACTTGCCAGCTGTGACACCAGCAAAGGAAAATAAAAAAGCTCCAGTAACGAACCTTAAATAAATGGAAATATATGAACTGTTTGACAAAGAATTCAAAATCATTGAAGAAATTCAGTGAGCTACAAGAGAACACAGACAACTAACAAAACCAGAAAAACAGTACATGAACAAGTGAGAAACTTAATAAAGAAATAAAAAACATTTAAAAAGAACCAAAGAGAAATACTGGAGTTGAAAAATACAATGGTTAAAATAAAAAAATTTGGTGGAGATATAGGAAATTTGGCCCTGGCAAGGGGTAGTAGAAGTTGAGTATGCTTGTAATCCTAGCAGTCCTGAGGCTGATGAAGGTGGTTCACAAGTTTGAGCCCAGCCTGGACAACTTAGGAAGATCCTGTCTCAAAATGAAAAAAAAAAAAATTAAAAAGGGATGTGAATGTGGCTCAGTGCAAAGATCTTAGGTTCAGTTCCCAGTACTTCAAACTAAACACATAGATGAATAAATAAATAATAAAAAGAGGAAGTAAAATTAAATCTCAGATAACAAATTTCTCAGCGTAGTACACATTTCCCATACTTAAAGAAAAATAAGCACACCACAATCAACCTTACTGGAGCGAGGGTGCCTGAAGTTACTTGGAGAAAAGCACCTGTTTGCTCTCTCTGGCTAATCCCTATATAAATGAGTCCTGACAGATCTTGGTGGCTTGAGTTTTATGTCTCATTGTGACAAAAATGATGAATATGAAGTCTTCCCCCAAAGGGGGTAATCATCTTTGATTTGAAATAGTTCTCATTTTGTACTTCTTTTGAGAAGTGTCTATTTGGCTCATGTGAGCATTTTTGATTGTATCATTTGTTTGGGAGTATTAATTTTTGAGTTTTCAAAAGTAGTACAAATGACCAATAAATACATGAAGAATGTTTATCACATTTAGCTATTAGATAAATGCAAATCAAGCTACTTTAAAGTTCTAAGTCACTCCTGTCAGAGTGCCCATCATTAAGAACACAAAGAGTAGGGGCTGGGGATTTGGCTTGGTGGTTTCACTGCCTGCCTCCCAAGTGCAAGGGCCTGAGTTCGATCCCCAGTACCAAAACAAAACAAAACAAAAAAACCACACACACACACACACACACAGAGAGAGAGAGAGAGAGAGAGAAACAAATTCTAGCAAGGATGTGGAGGAAAAGGAATCCTCCCAAGAAATAGCTGGAAGGTTTTTTTTCCTCATTCTTTAGGTTGTCTCTTCCCTCTATTGATTGTTTTCTTTGCTATATAAAAGCTTTCTAATTTGACACTATTCCATTTTTTGGTTCTTGATCTTGTTTCCTACGCTATTGCATTTATGTTCAGGAAGTCTTTGCCTGTGCCTATGGCTTTAAATGCTTTCTCTGTGTGAAAAAAAAGAAAGCTTTCACTCTAAAATCAGAAACAAGACAAAGATGTCCACTATCACCACTCTTAATTAATATAGTTCTGGAAACATTAGCCACAGCAATTAGACAAGAGAAAGAAATAAAAGGAATAAGGATAAGAAAGAAAGAAATTAAATTATCATCATTAGCAGATGACAAGATACTCTACACAGACCTCCGAAACTCCATCAAAAGACTTCTAGATTTAATAACCAATTCAGTATTGTAGCTACTAGATACAAAATCAACACTCAAAAATTAATAGTCTTCCTGTACACAGATAACAAACTCACTGAGATAGAAATTAGGGAAACTATAACTTTCACAATAGCATAAAAAAAACTGAAATACTTAGGAATCAACCAAACAAAGGAAGTAAAAGACCTTTGTGTTAAAAAAAAGAGATCGAAGAGGATATCAGAAAATGGAAAGACATCCCTTATTCTTGGGTAGGAAGAACCAATGTAGTGAAAATGGCCATACTTCCAAAATTGTTATACAGATTTATTGCAATCCTGATGAAAATACCAATAGCATATCTCACAGAATTAGAGAAAAAAATCCTGAAATTTATTTGGAATCAGAAGAGACCTAGAATAGCAAAAGCAATTCTGGACACAGGCAAGGCAGGGGGCATCACAATCCCTGGCTTGAAATTATACTACAAAGTTGCCATGATAAAAAACGGCATGGTTTTGCACATATTCTGGTGAAAATGTGGTTTATTTTTTATATACAATGGAGTGCTACTCTGCTATAAAGAAGGATAAACTTGAGACATTTTTAGGTAAATGAATGCACCTTGAGCCCACACTTTCCAGTGAAAGAAATCAGACACACGTGTTAACACCATATTGTTTCTCTGGCGTGAGAAACTAAAAGGGTAAACAAGGACCAAAATGTATAATAGATATTTTGAAGTAGGGAGAAAATGTTCGAATGGGAAGGGACACTATGGAGCGGGGAGAGGGTGAAAGGAAGGGGAAAGAAAAAAAAAAAGGAATCGAAGAAAAAATGGAATTGAGACTTCTGCAAATAAGGAGGGAGGGCCAGGGATTTAGCTCAGTGGCACTGCACCTGCTCACAAGCACAAGATCCTGAGTTTGATTCTGAGTTTGATCCCCGGTAGCAGAAACAAAACAAAACAAAACATCAACAACAAAAAACAGATCTGTAAATAAGGTGGGAAAGAGGAGTTGAATGGAGGGGAAAGGAATGGAAAAAAAAAAGAAGAATCAAGGTATATTATGTATAGGTACAAATTTCCTATGATAAATATTATCATTATATATAACTAAAATGTACAAATAAAATTATTTTTTTTTAAAAAGAAGCAATTCTTGGTTAAAAAAAAAGAACCTGACAGGCCAATGTAAATCACTGTAGAAACTAAAATAATAATTAGCACTCATACATGGTAACAGATACACATATGTCCCATAAATACACTCTAAGAGAAAAAAACTAAGTTTTATTGATACAATAGTATTTCTATACAAGGAAAGGGGGAAGAGATCAAAATCTAAGACAGCATTAGAAGGAGTAAAAAAAAGAGGAGATGTAAATGGACAGTGACAGATGATAGAGGAAAAGTGAGTCCAATTAATGAACTAATAGAAATACTACAAAAGAACCCTTGGTGTAGGAGAACATAATGTGGCATGGTAAGCTAATATAGAAGCAAAGCTAGGGCCGGGGATGGAGCTCAGTGGTGCCGTTGCCTGCCTGGCAAGCACAAGGTCCTGAGTTTGATCCCAGGTGCAAAAAAAAAAAAAAAGAGCAAAGCAATTGTTTTTACAAGCACACATACACCCCTTACTCTTTCCTCTTTCAAAAAGAAATATCAAGAAGAAAAAAGGAGTAAAAAAAGCCAATCCAATATTCTTCCTTGTGATGGTATTTTTACTAGAGTCTAAATTAGGTCAGATTACTCCTTCACCTCAGTTCAAATAGTTGAGGCTTTGTAGAAATTGTAGAGGCCTAAGTACTATTTCTCTGTGA